TGCCATCCACTTTGCCTAGCATGATTGCCTTTTCCAGTGAGTCTTGCCTTTGCATAATGTGACCAAAGTACGATAGCCTCAGTTGAGTATTTTTAGCTTCTAGGAGGTCTACCGAAGCCCCCCCAGTCTCCCGGAAAGCTCCGAAAAAGCGTTTAAGGCTCGGGCGTCCTCGGAGCAGCCGAGGAAGCCGCCCGTCGCTGCGCTTCTCATTGGGTGGCCAAAGTATCTGAGCTTCAGTTTCATTATCTGGCCTTCCAGGGAACAGTCAGGGTTGATTTCTTTTAGGATTGACTGATTTGATCTTCTTGTAGTCCAAGGGACTCTCCAGAGTCTTCTCCAGCACCATAGTTCAAAAGAATCTATTCTTCGGCCCTCGGCCTTCCTTATAGTCCAACTCTCGCAGCCATACATGACTACCGGGAATACCATTGCTTTGTCCATGCGGACTCTACTTTTTATGCTGCTGTTGTGGTTCGCCATCGCTTTCCTCCCAAGGAGCAGGCGTCTTTTAATTTCATGGCTGCTGTCACAGTCTGTGGTGATCTGGGATCCCAGGAACGTGAAGTCTGTCACTACTTCCACGACTTCCCCTTCTATTTGCCAAGGAGTGATGGGGCCGGATGCCATGATCTTAGTTTTTTTTGATGTTGAGCTTCAAGCCCACTTTTGCGCTCTCCTCTTTTACCCTGAGCAAGAGGCTCTTAAGGTCCTCTTCACTTTCTGCCATCAGAGTGGTATCGTCTGCATATCTGAGGTTGTTGATCTTTTCCCCAGCAATCTTAATTCCCGCTTGTGATTCATCCAGGCCAGCATTTCGCATGATGTACTCTGCATATATATTAAATAAGCAAGGCGACAATATACATCCTTGTCGTACTCCTTTTCCTATGCGAAACCAATCAGTTGTTCCATATCCAGTTCTAACTGTTGCTTCTTGTCAAGTCTTCGCTATTTTCCACCACTAATGGGGTGTCCTCTGCATGCCTCAAACTGTTAATATTCTTTCCACCAATTTCCACTCCATCTTCATCTAAATCAGCTGTTTCGCTGTATTCTGTCCTAACAGCGGCCTCTTTTCTTAGTGTAGGTTGCACATCGAAACAATCAGCTGCTGTGGCACACACATTTCTTTTAAAACTAGCCGTAGCGTTTCATGATTCGCACAGTAAAAAGCTCT